GCCTTCTGGTTGTATGCATGGAATAATGCTGTTGTTCTGAAAACACGATGACTAACTTTTAAAGCTTAAGTTATTAAAAACAAACAAACAAAACCCAACTGTTGGCTGAATCTGTTGTATTGAATCTCGATCTCAAAGGAATTTTCTTGTTGTCTTTCCGAATGTTTGTCATCTTCCAATATATTCCAGTGTATAATGCAATGCAGTGTATCTTTAAAAACAAATGAAAAAAATGAAATTAAATCAGTGGATCACCTCATTTGGCTTATGGATTTCCATGCTCAAACATATTCTGGGTGCAGCTGCACTGGAGGCTGCAGTTCTTAGCTGTCACTGTCGTCTTTTTCCCTGACAGAGGTTAACTGGAACAGCTGGCATAATTGGTATGTGAAATTACTGAAACTTTTATTTGGATAGAATCAGGTTACAAGCAACCAGAAAAAATCCTAGATCCTATTAAGTATTCAACACAGATTATTTTGACAGAGCTAGGTATGCACGGCTCCATCGGCAGGCTGGAAGAACAGCAGTTCCTAGCAGTGGGATGTAAAAGCAGATTCAGTTTTATTTAGCTAACAGTTCAAGTGACAACTGCTGTATAAGGGGGTACTTTAGCAGTGAATTTTCCCATGTTGAATGATAGGTTTTATTTTTACTATTTCCTTTAAGTGACAAATGTTCAGTAAAGCTTAACGTTAATCCCGAAAAACATTCAGAAGAGAGCTGCAAATTTTAATTACACGGGAAGTTTAAAAGGTTTATTATTCTTTGTCCATTATGGCCTCAGTAATAGGCTGTTTCGCTGAATCTTTTAAAATGAATTCATGGTCCTTTTTGATTAGATGTATGAATTTTGCGGAAAATTGTTTCCTCTTTGGTGTTTCCTGTACTTTTGAGAGGGTTATGTTATGTACTTCATGTGTAGGCTTGTTAACTTTTATATTTACTATAGATACAAAATGAAGAATAAATGAAACTTCTGTCTGGCCCAGCACCCACGTAAGCGTGTTCCTACCAAAAATCCAACTCCTGCAACTGGAAATTCGGAAAATTCCTTACAGGCTTGCAGGGGAGGTGCAGCTCCAACCTGACGCAGACTGTGGTGCTCCTGAAGGCCGTGCCATCCTGCCCTGGTCTAGGTCCTGCATTTCTTAATTTCAGAGTCTATTCAATGGGCAGGGCAAATCTGTCAAAGTAGTTTTTAATTGAAAAAAATTGCTGACCGTTCCTCCTGATGAAACAGAATGATTCATTTTGATAATTTCCAGTTAAACTTGTATTTGGTGAGGAGGAAAAAAATCTTTCTAGATGTTGTGGTGGGTTGACCTTGGCTGGCTGCCCGCCGCTCAGGGAAGATTACCTTTTTGCCAGTTAACACCAGAATTGTGAGAAACAGCCATAACTGAAAACCTTTCTCCCCGTACACCCTCTTCTTTCAGGCTCAACCTCACTCCTTCATTCCTGACTCTTCCTCCTCATTTATGCTTCTTCCAACCCACGCAGAGGCACAGGGGAGATGGAGAATGGGGGCTGTGGTCAGTTCATAACGCTTCACCTCTGCCACTCCTCACTTTTTCATTTGCTCTAACATTGGTCCTTCTCATGGGCAGGGGTTCTTCCTGAACTGCTCCAGCCTGGGCCCTTTCCATGGGGCGCAGACCTTCAGGAACAGGCTGCACCAGCACAGGACCCCCGTGGTGGCAGTTCCTGTCAGGAGCCTGCTCTCCATGGGCCGCAGCCTCCTCCAGGCCACATCCACCTGCTCCACCGGGGGCTCCTCCACCCATGGGGGGGCTGCAGTGTGGAGATCTGCTCCATGGGGGACCCATGGGCTGCAGGGGGACAGCCTGCTCCACCAGGGGCCTCTCCACGGGCCGCAGGGGAATGGCTGCTGCCTGCCTGGAGCACCTCCTGCCCTCCTGCTGCACTCACCTGGGGGCTGCAGGGCTGCTGTACTCACATTTCTTTACTCTTCTCTCACAGCAGCTGCTCAGAGGTTTTTACCTTTTGTTAAGTATTCTCTGGCAGTGGTGCCATCCGTGTTACTGCTTGGCTCAGCTCTGACCAGTGGCAGGTCCCTTTTGGATCTGGCACTGTCCAACATGAGGGCAGCCTTGGGCTCTCCTCACAGAGGCCACCCCTGCAGGCCCTGCTACTGAAACCTAGCCATCTAAACCCAATACACATGTTCAATTTCAAATCTAGACCTTGGATACCAGTCAAGTTTAGAGGCTTGTTTGTGTATCAGTAGGACACATCATCTGAGCAGTTCATCTTTGACTATAGTGTACAAGTTTGTTTCCAGGTTGTTTCATAATGTGCTCTAACTGGGACTGTATCACCCTATTCTAATCAAGTGTCAGCTGCAACTGATCTTATCTGACAGCTGTCTGCTGCTGGAAGGAGGGTTTTGATCCCCAGTTCCTTTAATTCCTCTTTCTTCCCTTGAATTAGCTCTGATGCTTGTCACGTGCTTTTCAAAATGAATTAGGCTAATTTTTTGAAGTAGGTGAGTTGGCTGGTCCAGCAAAGTGTTGGATGTATTCTTGCAGCATTCCCAGGGTGAGAATGTGAGAACGAACGTATGTGTGGTACACAGCAGCATCCCTTCTGGAAGCTGTAATGGTGGATCCACATCAAACAGGAGGAAAAGTGAACCTGGTTCCATCTTGTGTGTGTTTTTGAGGTCTCGAGTTACTGTCATGACAGCATATTAAGAAATTAATAGGTATCAAGATGGCATCATTTTCCTGGGAGTATTAGGGTAAGTTACTTCACTGAGTTTTGTTCCTCCCCTTTCTCATTATCTGTTTTTACTACAACTGCACATGGCACTCAGTTCAGGTGCTGGGTATGTGTAAGTACAGAGAAGATGACAGCCGCCGGCTGCTGTGTAGCTGTTGAATTGCATCACGTACCATGCCTGTAGAGTGACTTTGGTTTGTATGTTGAAGAGCGAGGTGACACTCTTGTGTGTGACATACATAACAGATGATTTGTGAATGGAGTTCAACAGCTTTGTCCAAGTCAAGGATGAAAAAAAACTCATGGTGAATTGTTAAAGACCAATCATACAAAAAGACACTTGTCTTTGCTTCTGATCATTATAGACAAACAATGTACCCTGATGTTTGTAATGACACTTTTAAAAGAAATCTGAATTGTTAGCTTTAGTTCCTGCCTTATATTACCTTGTTTCAGTAATGGAAATTGGATAATTATTGGCAAATTTAGGGCTATCTTTTTCAGATTTAGTTTTTAAGAAATATTTGTGAGACTGTTAACTTTCTAGTAAACTTGGCTGATCTTGTTCATTCGACTTTATTTTAGGAAATGGGGAAAAAATAAGATACGTTGTACTGTAGTGTTCTTTAACATTGATATATAAGTTTAACATTGATATTTAATTTCATTTAACATTGATATTTAAGTTTTTTAACTTTCTGTTTTGTAAAAGACTAGTAAAGGTTAAGCAAAATCTGTACTGTATATTCACATCCTGAAATGTGAACAGAAAAATACAAAATGCGTTGGTATTTTTGGGGCTGGGTGGGTGGGTATGTTTCACGTTCCAATATTTATTCAGTGTAGAATGACCTTGGTTTAGGTGAATAAGCCGCTATTACGGCAGGTCATGCTGTCCTACAATGGAGCGTGCTTCTCTGCCACTTCTCTTTGTAGATTCTGGTCAATCTCATTTCTGTTCTTTTATTTGCCCAGAGAGGCTGTGGGGTCTCCTCCTTGGGGATCACCAAAAGCCGCCTGGACGTGGGCCTGGGCAGCCTGCTCTGGGTGTCCCTGCTTGGGCAGGGGAGGCACCAGGAGCCTCCAGGGGGCCGTGCCAGCCTCAACCCTACAATGATTCTGTGATTTCTGGCAAGTTGTAATTTTGATATAGCTCCTTATATAGGAGGTGAGTACAAAAAGAAATGCCTGACTTGGAATGTAAAGTTCAGGAAGGTGAGCACTGGGAGGAAACGTTACGGGCTAATAAAATGGGGGGTGACGTGTGGGAAGGCAAGACAGGAGTGAAGAAAAGCTGGCATTGTATAGTCTTTCTAAAATCCAACTTATCCCAGCATGTACCATCTAGTTTTATTCACTGTTATCTGTTTTCTATTAATTTTAGCTTTAAGTGGAAGAATAATGCACGTCGTCCTCCTCTGCAGCAGAATTTTGTATAGCTTAGGGTGGTTTAGGGGTCAGCCTTTACTTGCATCAGTTTAAAGGGACTGAGAAACTGAGTAGTTGAGTCAGTTCTACAGTTGGAATTTAGGAAGGAGATACTGTTGCTTGTCTGTGCTCATTTGTTTAAAAATTTGGTTTTATGGGGTAGAGGAACAACTTCCAGTTGGCACACTCTCTTCCTATACCTACTACTTTTTCTTATGTGCTACTCATCAGGGTTATTCTTGCTGTATTTAGGGTGGAATAAAACTCTTCAAAAATACCGTATTGCCAAATTATGCATCACAAATGAAAATCAGTGATGTGTAACACTTGAAAAACACTGCTATTTAGATATTTGAGGAAATTGTGCTCTATTCAGTTGTTTGGAAAACAAAGTCTGCTTCAGTGCCTGTTTTCAGAAAGTATAAGAATGTAAGCTGGCTAGGGTTTATTGTTATCAAGTGGTGGTAACAGTTCATGCAATGAGATAGAAGCTCCATGCTTCGATCTCAAAGTGTGATGATCAAATACATTCAGTTACGAGGATTTGTGTCTTTTTGTTTGTGTATTTCTGGGAAGCTTTATCGTACGGTAGGACAGTGTACTTGAATATCAAAACCATTGCTACTATCCACAATGTTGATTAGTAAACCCCCAAAATACATGTTTTGTCCATTTTTCTTCTTTGTATGTTTTTTTTTTTTCTTTGTGTGGCTCTGGGGAGATTTTTAACCCTTTGAATTAATGTAATTGCTTGTTTAGCAAGTTTGTCTACCTTCTCTATCCTGCTTTTACAGCATTGACTTGTTTTTCTTTTTTTTTCCCCACAGTTTTAAAATTGCGAAATCATGGCTCATTCAAAGACAAGAGCCAACGATGGAAAAATCACATATCCTCCAGGAGTCAAAGAAATCTCTGATAAAATATCTAAAGAAGAGATGGTGAGAAGACTAAAGGTTAGTAAGCATGCTACTAGTGGCAGACCGATGTTTCTTGTACAAAGCATTCAGTGATCCTATTACTGTATTTCTTATCCGAAGGGATTTTTTTTTCTCTTGGGCTTTACGACAAAACATTTTTGATGCTCAGAAGAAGGAACTTTTTGGCTATTGTGCCTTCTGTTCAACCACTTACTTGAAGTGGATTGTCAAATAAGTATTTAAATGAGATTAAAAAATTGCAAGTGGAAATAAATTATGTTAATTTCAAATACTTCTTTAATTTTTATTTTAGCGCCTGTAGTATGTCAGTGCTTTTAGAAATGAAAATACTTGACAACATGAAAAGAGCCTTAATTTTAGGAAAAAAAGGATGCATGAGAATACACTAGTATTAGACATTCGTGTTCCTTACAAAGTTGACTTTAAAACCGACTTTATTCACATTATTTTAGTCTCTGTCACAAAGACAGTAAAAGTCTTTGATTATACTATGCATTTTTATGTCTTCTGAATTTCTATGAATTTCTATTTCTAATTCTTCCCCCCCCCCCCCCCGTTAGCCTTTCTGTGTTTTGGGAATTGAGTTGATGGTTGGTATGGTGCATTCTAAGATCTTGGATAGGAGACATTTATCGTTTCTTTTGCTAAGAGTCACTCATAGATGAAACAATTTGTTAGCACTAGCGTTTTTTTCAGCTCATGAAAATGCATACTGCTCTTACTGATACTTTTTCTATTACAGCCTCATTTAATTTTTGGCGTTGAGTCTAGTCCTTGTGTTCTGTCATCTTCATCTGTCTTGCAGGATAAGTGTACTTTGCAGGATGTCTTGTGTTTCTTGTCCAGCTGTTCGCTCTGGCTGTGCACTCATGGGTATGCAGACAGAACCACACAGTCCTCCTTCATGGAGAGCTACATGATCTAGGCTACCGGAGACACCACAAGTATATAGACCTACAGTTTCCCACAGTTGTAGGAAAATAATTAAGTGAACTATTATCCTCCTTATTTCCCTGACTGCTGAATCCACATAATTATTAGAGAAGAAGCACTTTTCTGTGGATCTTATAATTTGTACAAGCAGCTAGTTTGCTATTTCTTCAGTAAAGACAATCTGTTTATATAACTACAAAGTGTTGGGAAGTCTGAGGATAAAATGAAAATATACATAGTGAATTTCTATATTAGTATATCTCACCTTGCAAATCTCATGCATTTCTGATCAATGCCATCTCCAAGTTGCAGTGGATTATGAGAGGAGAAAGAAAATAAATGCTCAGATCTAGGGAATTAGCACTGAAGAAAGAATGAAGGTGATAAACATTTTGGAAATGGTGAAATAGTGTAAGGAGAACATTTTTTCCAACAATTTCTCTTGATACACAAAAGCTAAAGGATTGTACTATGAAAAATATTAATTTTTAGACCAGTGGTCTAGGAACATACTTTTCCATAAGTTATGTGAAATTAAATTGTGAAGTTTGTTACTAGGAGAGTGTAGGAGCCAGAAAAATTGAATAGCCTAAGAAATATAGGCCACATTTGGAAGCTGAAGCTCCAGGAGTATTAATCATGGTGGTCTGGGTGCAATTTCAGGCTCAGGAGTTCTCTAACCTAGTGCTTTGCAAGAAACCGGGAAAGTATGCTAGCGGAACCAGCTTGTTTCTCTTTGCTTTTCCTTAAGCACTGCAACAGAACAAGAAGACTGCATTTGTTGTTCTGACCAGTGTGTAATTCCATGTTGTAAGGAAGAAAGAGAAACTGCAGTTTCATTTCTAGAGTAGGCAAACTCTTTACTTGTTGCAAGAACTCTTGTAACACCCAAATGTTTATTAATTACTTTAATTACATAAATCTAATTACTTCCCATAGAAATGAACAGTTCTTTTCTGTTTTTAAAATTATTTTAATATTATGTAAGGGCAACAGTGCACATCAGATGGCTCATCTCATGTCTGACTTGGGAGGACTTCGTTTTCTCAATGGAAATTGCGTGTGCTTAAATTACTGATAGTCTCTGCCCAAGTCTTTATTGCCATTCTGATAATTTGAATGAGTTAATAACTTAAAATTACTCTGCCTCTGGGATTCAAATAAGAAAGTGGAGAAAAACATAATTACTTTGTTTTATCAATGTTTTTTTTCCTCCAAACTTTTTATTTATTAATATTTTTTAAATGTAAGAATTCTTACTAGCTAGCAGTTAATCACGTTTATCTTGCTATTTCTGCTTTTGTTGTATTTACAGAGTAAAATATTCAGTGTTGCAGATTCTTCCCCATCCCCCCCGCCTTCCATATAGCCTACTGGACCCTAATAATACTAATTAGCTTTTTCTCCTGCTGGACAATGTGCGTGCTGCTGGGATGTACTGATCTTATATTTGCTTCTGCTGAAATTGTGCACTCTGCTCCTGGTGATGTGTTGTTACACAGGGGACAAACTTTTCTTCAGAAGCAGTGGTAGGAAAAAAGAACAACACATAAGGCTGAAAGAGAATAGAGGGGAAAAATAAATTGGAACCCTAAATGCTTCAGGAAGAAATACACCTTTTGAGTAAGGTTTTGCTGTTTTCTAAACTTTTCAGGGAATGTTCCTGTATTTTTTGACTTTTGGTCAACTTGATGGCATGGTTTTCTCTAGAAGACATATGAAGGCCTACTGCCAGGTTTTCATTAACTCTACTGAAACTGTACATTTGGACAATTGACAACTTGAATATTTCCTTTTTACACTCTAAAAAATAAAACATTGGTTTACTACCTTTACTTATATCAAGTACTACTGCATTGCTTCTGATAAATATTGCACAAACACAATTCTTAATTTTGTGTATTGAGGTCTTTTTTTTTTTTTTTGTTTCCCTTATAGATGGTTGTGAAAACTTTCATGGATATGGACCAGGACTCTGAAGAAGAAAAGGAGCTCTATCTAAATCTTGCTTTACACCTTGCTTCAGATTTTTTCCTCAAGCATCCTGATAAAGATGTGCGTTTGCTGGTAGCTTGTTGTCTTGCGGATATTTTCAGAATTTATGCCCCTGAAGCTCCATACACTTCACCAGATAAACTAAAGGTAAATTTAATTAACCTATTTTTCCATACCAAGGTTTTATACTGAATGATTAATATAATTGGTTATAACTTTTTCTTCCCCTCCATTTATTTCTGGTCCAGCCTGAGCCATCCTTGGTAAGGGTGCTCTGTCAGGTCAAATGCTCATCAGATAAATTGATATATAGCACATCTTCCAATAACTTGCAGGGCTTTGGACTTATATTGAAAATAGACATATTATTGAACTATGATCAGGATTTGTGGATACTGGGCTGTTACTTTACAATAAAAGCTATAGATATATGACTATTTCTAATTTTTTTTGCAAGATAGTCAATTCCTTCACTCGGGAAAACATCTCTGCTGTTTCCAATTAAACTACCAAGAGATGGTCAGTGGATTTTTTTGTAGATAAAAGCTACAGAAACAAAGAAAAAATATTTTTGTATAGAGAATAATTATTTCTGATGTGAGATGGAAAATTCTGCAATTACAAGCATTGCTGATCCCACTAGATGGAGATGGTTGATTGAGAAATGCCAGCTTTGAAAAGGCAGTACAATCTGCCCCATTTGTTTTAGGATGTTTCATTTTAGGTTGCCTTTGTTGTTGTTGTTTTTCTCATTTTTTGTAGAAGTCTAACTTCCTTTACAACTTAGAATATCAAACAACTTCCTTTTCACACTCTGAATCTAGACTGATGAACTGATTGATATAGAAAGTTTTGCAGAGAAGAATAACACTGAAAAACTTGCATTTTTTTTTTTTGTCTCCTTGACTTAAGAGTGTAGTACACACACACACCCTCGTTCCCCCCCATAGTAGGATAAAAAGATAGTTTTGGTGTCAGGGGAGTGGGAGAAATGACTCAGGTTTTGGTCTGCTGAATATGCTGAACGTGCTTCATAAGTAGAATGAACACTGCAGTTGTAACTGTAGTTCATGCTTTGTTACCTAACATACTGGAGAGAGACTTGGGGATTTGCTAGCTGTATTTTCTTATTTCTAAATTCTTGCAGTTCTGATTACGCATAGTCTAGTTACCTTACTTAGTGATCACACCATCTCCTTTCTCTACTGGGTTATGTTTAAACCTGTTTTTAAGGCTTTGTGACTTCCAATACAGTTTTGAGTGTGTTTTCCTTCACTTGTTAGGCTTATTTTTTTCTTGAGGTGGGAGTTTTACATTTTATTTTATATATATAATATATATATATAAAACATTGGAAGGTTTACATTACTGATCTTCTACTTAGTAAGAATGCTACTAGTACTTAGAGCTCTGGAGAGACTATGAACTTCCTCTGTCATCATTGAGTTCTGGAATCTGTGCAGATCTCTGAATTCAGTCTCTCGATGCAGATTTCCAAACACTTTCTGAGAAATAAAAACAGGATAAACAATAGACCTTTGCCAAGGGCTGTTGAGAGACTTGCAAACCAGTTTCTGCTGAACATAGCTTTTGTGGTTGCAGGACAAGCTTTGATAGAAATGTTGAAGATTCCATCCAGTTTAAGACAAAGAGGTAGAAGGAAGAATAGTTCCTCTTGGGTCGTATCTTGGTCCTATTTCTACCTGCTATTTATATTATATCCATAATGCAGCTTTAAGAATCTCCTGTGGTATTTATAGCACACAAGTTGAAGATGGGGAAAAAAAAATGGTGGAAAGGTTTATTTCTTGAGAGGGGAAAACCAGCAATCTTAAGCATTTACTCTTACTTTGCACCATCTCTGTTACTTGAACAATGTGTAATTTACACAGGGAGAAGGGATCAGAATTTGGGGTTCTCCTCTTATGTGTATCCTCAGTATAAATTGTAAATACCTCACTGAGAACTGAAAGATTTTTGACAACAGGGATGGAAAATGCCATAACTGGGGTAAAAGCAGACCTGGAGCAGGACTGCTCTTCTGGAATGTGAGAACTTTTAACTTAAGTCACTTGGAGTACTGTGTCCAGTTCTGGGCTCCCCAGTACAAAAAAGACAGGGATCTCTTGGAAAGGGTCCAGTGGAGGGCCACAAAGATGATACGGGGCCTGGAGCATCTTCCCTATGAGGAAAGGCTGAGAGACTGAAGACTGAAAGGGGATCCCATCAATGTGTATAAATACCTGAGGTGTGGGAGACAGAGGGATTTGGGCAACCTCTTTTCAGTGGTTTGTGGGGACAGGACAAGGGGTAATGGCCACAAGATGGAGCCCAGGAAGTTCCACACCCAACATGTGAAGGAACTTCTTCATGGTGAGGGTGACGGAGCAGTGGGACAGGCTGCCCAGGGAGGTTGTGGAGTCTCCTTCTCTGCAGATATTCAAGGCCCGTCTGGATGCCTACCTGGGCAGCCTGCTTTAAGGAACCTGCTTTGGCAGGGGGGTTGGACACGATGATCTCTTGGGGTCCCTTCCAACCCCTACAGTTCTGTGATTCTGTGAAGTCCTCAGCCTGGGGAAAAAAAAGCCTGTGGATGGTATTCTTGACTCAGCTGAAATTGAGATGTTTGAGGGTGTATATAGTAGCAGAACTTGAAGTATCTGAATGTGTTTTGTGGTGAAAGCTATGGCTGTGATACACACTGAAGCCATTATGTGGTTAATTGGTATCAAGACAACAATCCACAGAAAACATCTGATGTTCTTCCTAAAGTTGAAGCATAAGCACTTGTGGTTTTAGAGTTTGGGTTTTAATGTATGCTTGCTTTATGGAGTCTGATGTGAAGCCATATTGTCAAAGCTGTGGAAGTGTTGCAATTTCTTAACTACAGCCAAAGTTAATTTATCTTGTGTTTTACGTTTATAAATGTGCGTTCAGATGATATATTTGGTATGCTCAGACAAAGAAAAAACTTTGGGTCATACAACACTAGATACTCAAATTCAGCAGATACTTCTCAATTTAATCTCTGTCTTGCTTCCTTTAAAACAGAAAAAAAGGAAAGCATTATGAACTTTTCACACTCTGCCATTATTATTTGCAAAGCATTCAGCTATTAGACATTGCCCATGTATGCTATTTATTAATATATGTATTCATGTGCAATACAATGTGTACTTTATTAGGAAAACTAATTTTGATCTCAATAGGTTCTTTGAATTATGTTCAGTAAATAAATGTTGCATACCAAGCTGCAGGATTAAAAATGTTAAATGAACACAGTCCATTCTTGCAGTGATCCAGGTTCATCTTTACAAGAAGCATTTTCAAAAAGAGCCATTATACTTAGAGCATGAGCTCTATAAAATGAAGTAGTTCTTATGTTTGGCATGGGTCATTCTCCCAGATGCTTGTTTTCGTGTTTATTTGAATCTTAATCTTGGCTGAGATTCAGTCTTGGATGACTGCTGATAGGCTGCACCGATGGGCTGAGGTCAACTGCATGAGGTTCAACAAGGCCAAGTGCCAGGTCCTGCACCTGGGGCGCAATAACCCCAAGCAGAACTACAGGCTGAGAGATGAGTGGTTGGAGAGCTGCCAGGCAGAGAAGGACCTGGGAGTGATGGTGGACAGTCGGCTGAATATGAGCCAGCAGTGTGCTCAGGTGGCCAAGAAGGCCAACGGCATCCTGGCTTGTATCAGAAACAGTGTGACCAGCAGGGCTAGGGAGGTGATCGTCCCCCTGTACTCGGCTCTGGTGAGGCTGCACCTCGAGTACTGTGTTCAGTTTTGGGCCCCTCGCTACAAGAAGGACATGGAGGTGCTTGAGCGGGTCCAAAGAAGGGCGACGAAGCTGGTGAGGGGCCTGGAGAGCAAGTCCTACGAGGAGCGGCTGAGGGAGCTGGGCTTGTTCAGCCTGGAGAAGAGGAGGCTCAGGGGCGACCTTAACGCTCTCTACAGATACCTTAAAGGAGGCTGTAGAGAGGTGGGGGTTGGCCTGTTCTCCCATGTGCCTGGTGACAGGACGAGGGGGAATGGGCTAAAGTTGTGCCAGGGGAGTTTTAGGTTAGATGTTAGGAAGAGCTTCTTTACTGAAAGGGTTGTTAGACATTGGAACAGGCTGCCCAGGGAGGTGGTGGAGTCACCATCCCTGGAAGTCTTCAAAAGACGTTTAGATGTAGAGCTTAGGGATATGGTTTAGTGGGGACTGTTAGTGTTAGGTTAGAGGTTGGACTCGATGATCTTGAGGTCTCTTCCAACCTAGAAATTCTGTGATTCACAGCACCTTGTGGCCTACCAGTTCTTCAGCTAAAGGAACTCCTTTCAGGTGGGCTACTGGCCTGCTAATGGGGCAAACTCTACTTTTTAAGGGGATGTTCTTCAGAGTGGTGTCTCTGAATTCTTTTTAGTGGTTGGAGTCCATTAGGTGTGTCCTTTGAACTGCATCTTCTGGTTTAATTTCAACCAAAGAGTCCAGTTCATGTGCTTTTTAGCTGATCTGAAGCGTGAACCAAATGCACAGCCTTCTGAACATCCCTACTTAACACTTCAAAGGTCCAATCTTATTTGAACTCAAAGATTAATGTAGCTGTATCTTTGACCCATGTGCTTGCTGGAGTTTTTTTTTTTTTTTAACCAAGATATGACAGTGTCACATGTAATCTAATTCTTGTTGTTACCTAGAAGAGTAAATACTTATAGAGTAAAGCTGGAAGTTTGTTGTCATAGCCTTAGAAAGAAGGAACCATGTTCTCATCTTTTGTCCATCTCATCGTTCTTGGGGGAACAAGGGGCAAGGTGGAATGGTCATTTGAAAACATCATAGAAAAGCTTTTGGGGATGGGGGATGAAGAGGCTCATAAGCTTTCCATGTACATATGTGTATTTTAATGTGAAAGTTACATTACAATTCCTTTCTTCTAAGGAAACTTTTCAGGGCTAGCTGTATGGCTTTTGTCTGTTTGTTTTGACAACTTTATACACTTTGGAATTTATTTGCACCTAGGTTATTAGATAAATTGTTATGGATACACTTGAGGTTGAGAATGCTGTCTCTGAATGATGATGATACTTCTCAATCTTTTTTGATTTAATACAGTAATTAGGTATTTCCAGCTATTCATTGTTTGAATGTAAAAAGCATTTTAGAAAGTCACCTTCTTGTGTGTTTCCATTCATGTTCCTTCTAACCTGCTTAAATTGTTTTGTGTGAGACTTTAGAAAAAGAAGTCTTGTGGTGCTGAAAATTTATATGGAAAGCAGGAAAAACTTGGTTTATTGTTTTTGCCTGTCTTTTGCAAGAGATGTGGTCCGTCAGTAGCATGGTTATTGAGACATGCATAAAATGCTGTAGTATAAGCCTATTAATAATACTCTCAGGAAAGCTGCAGTTGGTTTCTGCTTTTTACCTCTTCTCTCCAGTCCAAACCTGTTGTAGCATAAAGTAAAAAATGTAAAATTCGTTGTCCTTGTGAATAACATTGTGACTTTGGCAGCATGTCAGCCAGTTGCAGGTTTTTTGTCAAATTGAGTATTTTTCTTCATAAAAAAAAAAATTGTTTCCTCTGAAAAAGGGCGCTTCCTCAACACTTTATAAAGAGGTGAAGCATTTTAAGATTACTCCTTGATGTACTCTGAGATATTTTGTAGATCTTGTTGGTTTTTTTTTTTTGACAGTGAAATGGTGTATGACATTACTGCATATTTTATACTGTTGAATAATATCAGTGATTTAAACAGGTAATTATTATAACTTTTCATTGCAATTGATTAAATGTCACCTTTTCTTTTCAGGATATATTTATGTTCATAACAAGGCAACTTAAGGGTTTAGAAGATACAAAAAGCCCCCAGTTCAATCGATATTTTTATTTACTCGAGGTAAGCTTAATAACTTATCTCATGATAAATCTTAAATGTGATTTTTAAACTTAATCTTTTATTAACTACATTTATGTTTTTCCCGTTCAACTTAGAACATTGCTTGGGTGAAGTCTTATAACATATGCTTTGAATTAGAAGACAGTAATGAGATTTTTACACAACTGTACAGAACACTGTTTTCAGTAATAAAGTAAGTACTGTCACCACAATTATTTTATTGCATGGTTTGGGTGAGTTGTTTCTCACTTAGATATTCTGTCTATTGGGTAACTTTCAGCATTAACAAGCTTAATTTTGATACTGCCTTAATTCAGTTTAACTAAAAGTAGCAGTATAAATGTAACAGACCGTCAGTTATGTCTTTTTTAATTTAACAAGATACACTGCAAATTGTCTGTTTTTCCAATTAAATTTACTTTGATTGTCTTTTAGTGCATTTATTTTACCATGTTCTTGAAATTGAAGGTGAATGGTACAATGTACAGTTCTAAGAATTGGAGGATTCTTTGTATAAAAATATGGGACAAAGGCCAGTGGGTACCAGAAAGTGCCACTGGAGGCCATCTAGTCCACCACTCCCTTCTCAAAGTAGGGACAGCTGGAGCAGGCTGCCCAGGAGGGTAGCCAGTTAGGGTTTGAATGTCTTCATGGATGGAGAACCTATGGCCTTTTGGGGCAATCTGTTGTAATGTTCAGTCACCCTGGCAGGAAAAAAAAAAAAAAACCGCTTATGTTTAAATGTTATTATCTGCATTGCAACTTGTGCCCATTGCCTCTTGTTCTGTCACTGGGCACCACTGAGAAGAGTCTGAGTTTTGTCCTGTACGCCAACATTAGGTATTTAAATATGTTAAGTTCTTCCCAAACCCGCTCTTCTTGAGGCTTTAAAACAAGAAACAAGCAAGCCAGCTCTCATCCTCTCCTTGTATGAATGCTGCTCCAGTCCTGTAATCATTTTTGTGGCTCTTTGCTTGACTGACTCCAGTACATCCATGTTTCTTCTGTACTGGGAAGCCCAGCACTGGTCAAAGTGCTCCTCCATATGTGAACTCAAAGGTGTTAAGTAAAGGGGAAGGACTTTCTAATATTCCATTTTTGTTTTTACTGTAGGGCCAGATACAATCCGTTTTCTCTTTTAATATTTTCTTTTAATATAGTAGTAAACAGAGAGGGTGTGAGATTTGAGAACATTTTGAGAAGTGGTGTGTGCAGGACAGAAACCTAAGTAGTTTGACTGCTTACGGAATCTTGTAATTTGATTATTATTGTTCTTCCTTGTTTGTTTGTTTTGTTTGTTTTTTTTGGTATTACCTTGAAGAGATACTCAGATTGGAATCTTCTGTTTTATGCAAATGGTACACTAAGGATTCTTGATTTTAATTTCAGCAATGGTCATAACCAAAAAGTACACATGCACATGGTTGATCTCATGAGCTCTATCATTTGTGAGGGAGATACGGTGTCACAGGAACTTTTGGATACAGTGTTGGTTAATCTAGTGCCTGCACATAAGGTAAGACTTAACAGTGGTTTAACTTGTGTTGATTAAGATTTATTATGTATATGTATATCTTCAGATATTTAGATTCCATTGAGAGAATAACTAGCAAATGTGTTCCTCTCAATTGGATTTTTTTAGCAAACAAATCAGTTTAAATGGCTGTAAAATTCAGTATCATTTTATTGCTTTGATTCACTTGGCATAAATCAAAGTATCAGCAAAGTCATTTTAAAGCTTTAATGTTATATGAATTTACAGTTTTTTGATACATGGCCAATACTGGCAGATGTTTATATAAAAGACATACATTTGAAAAGTGTCTTTGAAATTTAAAAAAAAGTCTTTGAAAAAATTTTAATTAGTGTAATGCTGTATCAACAGTTCAAAATATTGTGCTGCCCTAAGCAGAAGGGAGAAAGTTATAAATGTTGACTTGATGTTGTTGGAAGCATGTCAACGTGATTTTGATGTAGGCCTAGAACAAACTACGTTCAGAAACAGCGGTGACTGAGGAGCCCAGGTTATGGGAATTATCTAGGAAAAGTGTACTTAGCTGGATTTTGGACAGTGGTGCATGTCCAAAAGAGCTTTTTTTTTTTTTGGGGGGGTGGGAGGGGGTGAAAGGGACATTTTAAGGAAAAAGACTTTTTAATGCTTTTTAGAAGCTATAATGTGACTGGATGTTAACTGGGGGGTTTTTGCTCTCTGAAAAATGTAGCAAGTAGCACAATGCATTGTGCCTTACCGCAGCCCATCAGTTTCAATAAATAAACAACATGTTACTTATTTTTCTACTGACAATGAAAGGCAAAATGTTTAGTATAGGCTAATCTCCTTATTTTATTTTAATTGGAAAAGTTTTAGCTCTGTCTTTTAGGGGTTTACTACTTTTAAGCTGGGACCAGATTGAAAATTGTGTAGCTAGAATTTAGGTTTACAAAGTAAAGCCTTGGAATACAAGAAAAAAAAACAAGAGTATGCAGAATACATCAGTTTGTGTATTCTCAGTTAAGCACTTGTTCTTTGTTTTGTTGTGTGACCTGTGTTGAACTTGATTCAGATGTACTGTGTTTTGTTTTTTTTTTTTGATTCAGGCTTAATAAACTGATTTTAAATTGAGTAATTTGTATCCTTTTAGTTTGGCTGTGGCACAGAAACAAAATTGCTTTATAATGGATTTAAAGTTATTGACTGGGGACATTTATTAGGATTAGGAATTTGGGGTTTTGTTTTCTTTTGCCTCTGATTAAAACTTTGACTCTTTGGATAGGATATGAGTTTATAGGTTGCTTTTTAACTGCAGTAGCTTTGTAACTTTGGTCTGTGTTCTGAGCATTTTTAATTGTTTTATTTTTTTTCAACCTTCTTCACATAAGTGGAAAGAAGCTTCTAAGATTTTTGTTTCACCTCCATATCTTCATATAATGTTAATGTAACATTTTGGAGCTTACATGGCATCTACAGACAGCGGTTAGATGGATAATGTCGCATTGGGAGCATGTATTGAATTCAGAATGAGAATTTTTCCACTTGTTTCCATTAAGCATAAAACCACAAGGAGATTAAGTTTCAGGTCCACTGTAGGAAAGAACTATGATTTGGCTGATCTAGCTGCTAGGCTGTATGGGCTATAGGAAAGGAAAATCCAAAACCAGACTGACCAAAAATGACATGATGGCAAGTGTTGATGTAATGGTAAGTAGTGAATCCTTATCTAGCTGGATTCCCTGGGAACCAAAGGAATATTTTTGATGGAGTGAAAGAAGCATAGATTTGTTATTAACTCGGATTTGCAAATGATCAGGTGAGACGTTGTTGTATATGAGACAATAGTCACAGCAGATGACACAGGCAAAGCATGTATTTTGCATACAGCCAGAAAGAAGGCTGTACACATGAGGGACCGAACTGAATGAAAACAGTGTTCTGGAAAACAATGATACAGCTGGTATGATTTCTGGTGTATAAACAGTTGTATTGGATAACGGTAGGTTGAAGACTTGAGGAGCTTAATTGTGTAACTTATCAAAGGAGCAGTTTATAAGTGTGTATTGGGAACAGAAGTTTCAAACAGCTCTCCTAGTTTTGCACCCTGGATGCTAAGGTCCAGTGGCTGGGTTTTGATACTAAAATTATATGAATATCTTTTTAAGAGTTACAGTAATTAAATGAGCAATTTACTAAAGGTTCTTTCAGTGCTGTTTCTTCTTAAAAATCAAGATCAGTGTTTTTCCTAAAAGAAGTGCCAGATCTGGTCCGTAGTTCTGTGTAGTAAGTCTAATAAGCAACGGTGCTAGCAGGGTGACTGCAAAAACTCAGGCATAAGGAGCACAGCAAGAATCTGGTGTGCTATCAAATGTCTGCCTGCCATAATAATAATAGTAATCACTGATTTAGTCTAAGACATTCTAGCTCCCTTGGGTTAGTAAACCATCACACTTGGTCAATAAAAGCTGCATTGATGTAAATCTGAATGAAAGTGGCTGATGGTAATACCACAAAACAGGTACGTGAGGCTCTCTTGAATAGCACAGCGGAGACTGGATAATAAAATAAAACAACAAACATAATTTGTTGGACCATGTGCCCAGCTCTGAATTCCTTTGCTGTTTAATCATTTTCTTGCTTTTGTGGTTTGGCTCTCTTGTTCCTTTCTATGAACTCCACTGAAATTCCTATGATAGGATTATATGAAGAGGGAATGAAATTTAGATTTAGTGAACTAAGCCCAGAAAAATACCAGAGCGAAGGGAGAGGTAGTCAATATAGAAATGCAGGAAAAATTAATAGTTTTCCTTTCTCTTTGAGTTGTCTTTTCAGCTTATAAAGCCTTTATGGGAGCGTGTGCAAACACTTTTTTGTGTTTGTGCAGTTCGTTAGCAGGCAAATTGTGCTTTATTTCCTTGAGAGTTTGCCAGTGTGTTCCTTTTTCAGCCTCAGGAGTGCTACAGGGAATCCCACATGATTTACATGCTTATCTTCTTAGGAAAGTGATATTGACAATTAAATTCCTAACTGGCTCTATTAGAAACTTGCTTAATAATTAGTGTTATCTACCTTGGCAACACTTCAGCTCAGCTTTCTCTGCATTGTCAGCCATCCCTAAAAACCTGTTTTCCCTCCCTCTCTCTCTCAGAAGAACCAGAGAATCTCTTAAAGCTGCTTTGTGAGGTGCTCTTGGATGCCAATTCTACTGCTGTGCCCTTGATAAGAAGAATCAAATCGAAGGCTCTTCTCTAATTCTGAGAAAATGATGTGTAAAATGTATTTATTTTTTTTTTTTAGGAATATTGGCTCTAGATATGCAGTTTTGATGCTTTGCTTTTAGTCCTACAGCTAGAAAATTAAGGACTGGATTGGTGCTAGCTAGTCTTTTTGAGGAAAAATGAGGGACATACATTTGGTTTCTGCTTTTGAAGTACAGATTATTTCACTAATAATTGCTTTGAGCTGTTAAATGGGACATTATGGGGCAACTGGGGAAAAAAAATTCAGCAGTGTGTATTTCCACTGCTGCCAACCCCACTGTACCCACACCACTGTTTTTTGGCTCTGTGGCAGAGCATCCTGGAGAGCATCACCCATCAATCCTCAAAACTTAGGTTTTTACGCTTCTGGAAGATACTGATGTTAGCAGTATGTACGCAGAAATCACAGTAGGAGTTCCGACAAAAGAGAGAGCTTATGGTTGATGAAGGTGGTTTGTCTTCTGAAGGTTATTGCTGAAGGCTTTCTAAGCTTAAAAAGCCAATTGAGTCAAGTGGTGGCTTCATTTCTACCCATTTTGGGACTCTTGAAAGCTTATCCCCACTGCATGCTTCCGTGCTCTTAGAGGCATCCTGATCAAGTTGATTATCCCTATCAGTGAAGGCTTTCTTAAATCCTTAAAAGATCTTGAAGTGCATATAATTTTTTCCCTGAATGTGGAGAAAGGTAGGTCAGAGGATATTCGTATAAATTTTAGGTAACAAAAAAAAAAAAAAAGAATATGTTAAGTTAGCTCTTACCTTATAACATTCCTCTTTCATACGAACTTTAAAGAATGTTTATGGCTATTCCATTAACCCAATAGTTCAAAATATAGGTTTTAATGGTTTGTAAAGTTCTTTGAATCTTTTTGGTTTTTGCCTGGATTGCTCACGTTTTCCTGTCAACTCAGACAATACTGCTTTTTCCTGCTTTTGTCTGTATCCTGGAATTGGAAAAAGGAAGAGAAAACTTTCTGATGTGTTTTTAAGAATTCTTTGACGTTTTCTTGAAAAAGTACAGCTTCTGGATGTTTGAGGGCCAGCAGAATTAAGTCAAGTTCATGAGCAATGGGAAGAAAGTAGTTACCTTGTTTAGCCTTTTGGGATCTGGACTTTTTTTTTCTTTTCAGCTTTTTTTTATATAGAATGAAGCCTGAGTAATTTACTCAGGGTTGGAAATCACTACTTCAGGCATATATCTCGGCAAACATTATGGTGTTGGGAGATCTTCTGCCTGATATTTAGTGGTTTAATTATGAAAGATCTTTGTTCGTTTAGGCTCCTTTTCCTAAGGCTATGTGCAAGAATTGTGCTTAATTTTTAAAATTTTAGTTGGTAGTAGTTGTGTAGATGAATTATGACAGCTTTTTTTTCCACTATCATCTGCTGTGTGAAAGATACAAGCTGAAAATGTAATTTGTGTGAATCAAAGCAGGTCTGCCTGTTGGAACTGCTGCACAAGGTCTGCTCTTTGGGCTTGCTTTACATGGAAATTATATCTCACTCGGGATGTAGAGCTCATGCTGGCCCAGGTGGAGGCTGGTTCCTTGGTTTTAGTGGAGGTGAAATGTGGAAGTCAAGAAGGATCAGAGCAGTACCTGCCAACAGAGCACAGTTCTTGCTGTGGCTATTTATGCACTTTATTTCCTGAACAGTCACAATTCTGGCAAAATAACAGAAAACAAATGCTACAGGTGGAAACTTTTTAAAAAATATTAGCATAAAGGACAAAGTAGAATGCAGAACCTCCCCTTTTCTGGGACATGGAACAGCTCCACAATTGTGCAAGAACCAACCATTGGCAGTCTTTGACATCTTGTTTAGGTAACAGAAGGGAAAAATTGAGGTTGAAAGTAAAGACACACCGATTTATTTTTCTTCAGGGGAAAATAAATGCTCAGAAGTGGTCTTAAATTGGGGGAAAGATTGAAATAAAGCTCTTCATTTCTGATGTTCGTAAGCCTGAGATGTCTCATTTCAAAGTTGGTCTTGGTAAAATGAAGGAACTTGTTCCCAGAGTGCTGATCAGTCATTTTAGGACATTTTTTATATCATGTCTCAAAGTAGCTAATAGCTTGAATTGCAGTAACTTTGACAATAAATTTTGCCTTTCCTTTTGTTACAATTTAGCTGACCTTGAAAATACTACTACTTGTTTCTCAGCTGTGATGATGGCAGTCAGCTTCGTAGAATAATAAATATTAAGCAAGCAAAATACATTTTCATAGTGGAGGGTAACTAGTGAACTGCTTCTGAACTTTAATTTCATATCTCTCCTGTTCCTAATGTGCTGTGATAGCTATGTGTCAGTTTTCCTGTAGTTGATTTGTTTCTATAAAAGCTAATATTTTTCTTCCTAATTTATATTCACATATGGCTTTTTAGAAGCAGGTAGCATTCACTGCAGGCTGGGCTTTGGTAATTTCTTACTATTTAGCGTTTTCTGGGAGCATTTGAATATCTCCCCAGAACTGGGATTTTTATTAATGTTCTGTAGTGGCTCTGAGTGAAATAGATACTTCAGACTTGGACTTCACAGTCTTGACTTCAGACACTTAATTCTGTCAATAGGCAAGTCAAAGGCTTCTTTTGTTTTATATTAACACAAAATGTTAATCTGTTCCCACTGCTGTCTACAACCCTATACTTCTATACAGTTTCTGGAATTACAGATGTGAAATAATCCATCTCTGTAAAAAAAAAAATAAAATAAAATAAAAACTCATTCGGATAGCTACACAGGCTAAGCATATACAAACAATGTAAATGCGTAGTTCTGTGTGTATGCATGGGTGTGTATGCTAAAAAAATGTGTATGTTCTTGCTTATAGATGAGGTACATAATGAAACTACACTTTAAAACTGTTTTCTTTTAAATTGAATATGAGATGGGAAGAATTGTATTTTTACAGAAACTTCTTTAGCGATTAAATGATTATATGTATTTTTGAGTATTGAGTACTTTGTGTGCCAGTGAAGTCTGGAGTGTCAAGGGCTGGGTTGCATTTTGTTCTGACAATTTTTGGAAAACGTAGTGTAAAAATTGGAGAAAGTAGGTAGCATCCCCTTTGTGTTGGGATGGGAAGAAAATGATGACAGTAATAACCCAATTAAAGAAACAGAGAGGTAGGAAGGCGTGGCTTGTAATGTTTTAACAAGAACCTAACAAATCAAAAAACTAGTTTTTCTTCACGGTCTTGGATTGAAGTTCTTTTTCTCCTATCTGAGTCCAAAATACCAAGCGTCTCTGGGAGGCACTATAGAGAGACTGTGCTGATGGTTGACAGGTGACTGCTTGATGCAAGGGCAGAATTGTACTTTATGTCACAGTCCTGTTTGGAGGCTGTATTGACCGTAAATGCCTCAAAGTTCCTTCCCAGTGCTTTTCTGTTTTTAGGCAAAGCTGATAAAGAACAGCAGTTACATGCAGGAACTGACATTGTTGTGTGTCAAGCTTAGAAGGGCAACTGAAAAGTAAACTTATTTATGGGGAAAGTTTTCTCAACATCACCAGTGAAGTTTTCAAAGCTTTGTTTGGACTTGGTCTTGATCTGACTGTATTACCTTTATTACTGAAAGTGTTTAAAAAAAAATAATAAAAAAGAGGCTATTTCTTTATTAATGTGTTTAGCAGTGTATGGTAAATATAAACTCTCGTTATTATTTTTGTTAAGGATAATATATGTGCTTAAATTTTATTTTATTTTTTTTCCCAGAATTTAAACAAGCAAGCCTATGATTTGGCAAAGGCTTTACTGAAGAGGACAGCACAAGCAATTGAACCATACATTACTAATGTAAGTGAAGACTGCAAGCAAATATGGAAATCAATGAATTTTCAAACACTAAGCTGTATTATAAAAAGAATAAATTACATATAGTTAGTTAGGTCTGGGTAACTTTAGAAAGTCTCAATTCTTCTTTGAGTTAATTGTTACGTTAATTAAGCTCTTTCCCTTTGAGTCTGCTTCTTTACCATATAGGAGTTAATAAGCCCTTAACAATTTTGTTCACTAAAATGGGGTAGTTCACTTTCTGTTGTGTTGGGGGACCTTGCTCTTTAATCCTGAATGTGACCAGAAGCCTAATGTATTTATGTATTGTTCTTATAAAAATGTATAAACACATTATTCTTGTGGCAAAGTTTTTTTTTTTTTTTTTTACTACTAAGTAGTCTCATTCATCTCCTCACAAAAAAAAAAAGGTGAAGACAGAGCACAACTTCAATGCCATTGTCACAGGAAGAGGAGGAGATAGAATCTAAAAATAGATAGCAAGAAGGAAAACTGAGTGGATTGAGGACTGTAGCCAAGTTAAGTGTAGTAAAAGACATCACAGGCTGTGCAGGAGAAGCGGGTTGAGAGGCAGAAAAGGTCAGGCATAAGTATGCTCTGAATTAAGCTGCACAATAGGAAAAGAAATTACGCTTTTTTATAAGTAGTTAAGGATTTAACATGTCTCCTGGCGTGTATCCAAAACCTCAAGAGCTTAAAAACAGTGGAAAATCTTTAATGCTTTTTGTTGCTTTCTGACTTGTAACACCTGTGGCTTTGGGGAAGTAGTTACCTTTTAAGATTCAAGAAAAAAATTTAGTGAAAACTCTCCCTCCAAACCTGTTAGTCAAACCTGCTGCTTGGGGAGGGATTGCATGGGAATGTGTTCTTAGTGTTGCTTAGCTGCAAGGTTAGATTACAAACTGGGTGACATTTTGTGGTCTTAAGGAAGTCTGTACAATAAGAATCTTCCTCTTATGGAAAATGTGCACATGCATTCTTCTGTTCTTGGTTTCCCACAAGTGGGAAGTATGCTGTCTGGTTTCTTTGAGCATTATTTTCTTTCTTAAAATATATTAAAGACACAGGAGGAGTTAATTGTCTAACCAGGAATATATACATTCCAGGCAACTCTGCTTCCAGGAGAGAAAGACTTCTCTGCAAGATGGTTAGAGAGCCCTAACTTCTAATGAAATGCACCTATCAGATTTTACTTAGTCATTTTTAATTTCTTTACTGATAATGATTAATCTTGTCAGGACTGATTAGCATCGCTACCCCCGGTGCCCAAGTTTGTAAAAAAGAAACTGAAGGGCCACTTAAATATATTATTTCCACCTGCCAGTAAGGTGACAAAATCTAATTTGTTTAGCCACACTTGTACTATTTTAACCCAAAGAGAATACAAATTTGCAAAGTTATACCTTACCCCTCCTCGTCTTCCCCAAGAAGGAGGTGGCAAACTCCTTATTTAGTTAGTTACCCATCTAGTAAGAGAGGATGTAGCTGAATGTCGTATAGAATTAATATTTGATATTTATGAAGTTTCTCTCAAACCCATCAGGTTTATTAAGAAATAATAATTGCTTTACGGCTGTATTATGCTGCTTGTAAATATAAATTCTGGAGTAGTCAGTTACTAATTACTACATATTTGTTTACGACTTCTTAACCTATCAGCTAGCCAGTTGTTCCAGCTTTGTTTTGTCTAAAGGTTGGAATGATTTTAAAGTAAGTGATTATGCTTAGTAGTGCAATAACTGTAAATATAGTCACATTATAAAAAGATTTGATGCAGTGGGACCCCTGTAAAGTTGTGTTGCTTAAATTATTTGTAGCCTTGTTATAGTAATCTAAGAATTACTTCTCATGACTTTTCATGTGGTTTTCCTTTGTGTAATTTTGAATACAGAACAGATTTGTATATTTAAGAGTTCAACTACACAGCCCTGTTCTGCTAACCCTCTCCCCCCCCTTTTTTTTTTTTTATTACTGTAAGATTGCAAGGTAGATTTAGCGGTGGACAGGTTTAGGATTAGACGCATGTTATGTATCCTTGTGTTATTAATGTAGAGTCTGTTTTATTTCCTAGTTCTTCAATCAGGTTCTCATGCTTGGGAAAACATCAATTAGTGACCTGTCAGAGCATGTGTTTGACTTGATTCTGGAGCTATACAATATTGACAGTCACCTCTTGCTTTCTGTTCTACCCCAGCTTGAATTCAAACTTAAGGTAAGCATTCCTTATGCTTTCCATCTATTTGAAACACATGTATGCTTTTCACTGTTGATGTAGTTTTGTACTGACAAGTTCATCGCAAATTATTTGGCATATGAAACCAACATTTATATGTAAAACAAGTCTGTGTTGTTTAAAAGAATACTCGTAAAAGTGCTTAAGAGTAGTTTAACTTCAAATGCATTAACCTACAGTGTCTGTGTGCATATGTTTTTAGGCTTCTGTTTTTCAAACAACAACTTTATTATTTTTTTTTTAATGGCTTGAATCTGATCTGGTTTGTTCCTTGGTTTACTGTAGTATTTGTTGTGAAGGGCTTTAATATGTTGAAAGTACTTTGTGCTGCTGGCTGTACAGAGAAACTACATCTGTTCACAATAGCGGGGTCTGGAAGGGATAAACCGGGCCCACTGCTAATGGAAACTGATGCAGTGACCATTTTCTTTGAATAGCAAGTCTGTCACAGGTGGAAACTTAAAAATATGTCTTGGATTCATTGCTACAATGATCTCTATTTCTTTTAAGTTTTTTTCTCCATCTGAAAAATAGCTTGTGTTTGCACTGTACCTATTTTAATAGCTTTTTTTTTTCCTTTTTGACTTTTTTACCATTTCATAGCATCTCCATCACTTGTGGAGACTCAGTATAACAGCTGATACTTCCTTTTTTCTGCTCAACCTTTATTCACTTTGTCATTTCACAAGGTGTCTATGGAAGTGGGGAATTTGATTACTTTATTACCAAGTTTGAAAGTGATTTCTTACTGAACTTAAAAGCAAGTGTGCAGTGGGTGACTTCTAAATTTGCACATATTTTAATTATTGAGGAGAGGTTTTGGTTTTGTAGAACCCGTGGCCAGTTCTCAGTGTAATGTTTATTACTGTAGTGGCTTGTTCATGCCTGTTATCTTTTCACTTATGTTTCCTGATTAGGCACACCACATGGTTTTACAAGTTGTTTTTGTGGCTGTATCTTTCCATTCACATTTATGAAAGAAGTAGGGCCCAGTTTACTTCTTGCTCTCTTTTTTAAAGCACACCTTTTTTAGCCCTTAATATCCGTTCTTGGAGGTGGAGAACAATTACTCTCACTCCAATAAAAACACTGTTTCTGAAGCTGTTACTCAAGAGATTTAATTTTAACTGGTGCTGCACCCTTTTTTCATAGCCATAATTGCAGTAATCTTTCCATCTTTAGGTCCATGTAAAACTGCAGCTTCCTGAATCATCTTCGTGCTCCTCATGTGCCACACTTGGCTCCTTCATTGACTCACATATGCCAGTATTTCAGTACTTGCTTCTTGTTTGTATCCCATTTTACCATTGGTATCAGTAAGATTAGTAGGAACACAACTTCATCAACTTTTTTTTAGTGCTCTAGGAATTTCTGTTCCTTCAACTGAGTGATTTTGATTCTCAGTCTTTCCCTAGTTTCTTAATACCTCTTAAATTAAACGACATTTTTCATGTCTGCATTTCTGCTCTTTGCTTAGTATATTCTTCTGAGATCAAAAACATGTATTTCATTGTTTTTCATCTCCTCAGTCCTTGGTCTAGTTTTTTCTTGAGGCCTAAAACCCTAAGGGTAATGTGGTTGACAGGTAGCATTTGTAATATCCAGTGTTAAAATGTTTCCAAGAGATGTAACTTTTAGTAGCTACATTATTACTGCTCGCTCTTAGTGCTTTATCTCTTGTTAAACTCCACTGCTGTTTGTGGCTCTTCCCAGCCCAGGTACTGCTACTGTATGAATTATCTTGCTGCTTCAAGTGCCTTTTTTAGGTGCTTTAAGTTATAACCACAAATAATATATGCCTGTTTTGTCCTATCGGTTGTCAAATGCATTTTGATCCATCTTTAATATTAAAGGGATTAAAAAAAAATAAAAATCCAAGAACATAAAACTCTCCTATAAAATAGGATAATCCTGTTTCAAATGAGGTCAGAGGTCTTCCTGTTGTTAAAAGGGCATTTTGAGGTTAAAAGGGTATTTTGAAGATGAATGTTCTGAAATATGAATGAAATACAGTCAGTTTGTGTGAGATCAGCACAAGTTCTTTATAAAGACTTACCAGTGATGATTAAGTATTTTCCGCTCCAACAACAGCTGTGGCTTTATACTAAACAGTGGCAGCTAGTGTCAAGCACTTTGAATTCAGGTCCAGGTAAATTGCCTATTAGTGTTGGAGAAGAGACTGTGATTTCAGTAAAATTTAGCACCTTACAGTGGAAGGCAGCTACTGTTGTGCTGCTTTGAATGAAAAGAAACTCAACAGCAGTATCCCTATTAGCTTGATGAAGCCTTGGGTCAAATGGGCAGCACAGGAGAAAAATAAGCTTGGCAGTCCCTAATGAAATATGGGAGAGGGGAGTTTGCTTCTTGAATGAAGGTCAATTAAATTTAATGATACAACAACCATAAACTTCAGTGAGCTCTGTATGTTATTCAAAGTTTGTTTAAATGGCTTTGGCTTTTCCAGGTTTGGTACATGGCATGTATTTGTCTGTGCCCATAGCTTAAGAGTTTTGCCATATAAGCTCATGTGCTATGTGGAGCGTGTTTATGTCATGCATAGTTTTGCAGAAACGTCGAGTTTCTGTTCTCTGAGATCGTCTGCTACTGCTTTTGAATATACAGGTGTGATAATAGAATTCAAATACTAGGGGTGATACTCAAATGTTTATGGGGCAGTGTGACAATTACTCTGTTCCAGGATCCCAGATTGCTTCTCTGCTGCTAAAGAGGTTTGTATTACTCTTAAAATGAAAGGTGTTGAAGGAAAGCTGTGCCTGCCTCAGTGGTTGGCTTGTAAATTTTGAGGAGCAAGAATGTGTGAGATGATCTAATCTTGCATGCGTTGAACAAATGGAAGTGGACATATGAAAGGGGCTTTTCAAAGACAAATTGGGTGATTGCTCTGTGTTTTTGAAAATGTGCATTGGCTTTAAAATTGGCTTTAAAATCAGTTAGAAAAAAATTGGCCAGATGGAGTAGACTCATTGTAGACTCTCTCTGAGCTAGATACCAAGTGTTTCAATTACTGGGATGCTTCAGAAAATATTTTCAGGTGCAAACTTGGCAAGTTCTACATGAATTTGAACAGAACCCAATATTTTTTATCATGCCAATGGAATCTCATTTGAAAAGAAATAAATCAGTTTCTTAAAGTATCTGTTTCAGTAGTATCTTTTTTTTTTCCAGTTTGAGCCATTTTTATCAGCTCTTTGTAAATTCTTTTGACTTGTCTAAAAAAAAAATCTTTTTACTAGTAAGGAATGATAAATGGCTGGTTTTGTACAGCTGCTAAAATTTCTCTTTTCTTTTTAAATACGCTGGCCATGTCATATGAAGCCTGATGAACAATGGAGATCAGCTCATTGGGCATAGGGTGTTAAAATAGATTGGAAAGAGTAATTAGTAATCCATATAAGGAAAGAAAAATGTGATGTGGCTTACCAAAGGCAAAGTCTGTAGGGACTTGATTACTGGCAATTTAAAAAAAAATAATAATAAAAATAATTAAAAAAAAAATCCAACTTTTGGGATGTCATTTGACAACAAAGTGGTTAATTCTTAACTAAACATGAGAAGACAGGAATTCCTGGAAGTATGATAATATTGTTAATGACTTGGAGGGGTTGCCCTTGGGAAAGTCCTTGTGTGTGTTCTAACAATATACATATTTTACAACTCATTATTGAGGGCTTAAAGAGGAATATGGTCAAGTTTATCCATCCTTCCTTCCTTTTTACTTGAGGTGCATCAAGGAGACACTTGATCAGGTTTTGGAGATATGATTATTGAAGAATCTTGTTCTGTGAATGGGAGAAGTCAGTTTACACTGAGGGGAGGCTTTCCAGCTATACTTCCTCCACCCAAAGTAAAATGCTCGCTCATCCTAAATTAACTTGTAGTAATGTTGTCGAGACTGAGATGTATGCTGCCACTTATGTCCTCCCGTGGAATGGCTTAAAATACTGAACTGAATATAAAAAGATGGGTGCTGATAGAGAAATATTTCTGTGCTGCCTGCCTTTTTCTAGTTCTGTGCACACATTCCTCCTGTGACCCCCCTCCTCCCATTTTCTTGTGTTTGGCACTGCTGGGAGGCTTTTTTAGCTGTAGTTCTGCCATGAACAATGGGTGCCAGGCACTTCTGTGCCACACCAGCCACCTTCCTCTTGTCTTAATGACATTAATTTCTGGAGCTCTTTGACCACGTGCTTAGCGAGCTGGTACTAACCAGCATGAAGCAATATCAGCCAGTAATGTCTTTGGTTGGAGCGGAATGAGTTTCAAGAGATCCTTGTCTTCATGGGACAAAGGATCTTAGGAAAGTTCTAGACTATCTCTTTTTAATGTAGACAAAATCAAGGGATTTCCTGTCAGTGACCAAATAAATTTTGGGCCACAAAAGGTGGGGTTATGAAACTGTTAGTATAGGACTTGTGACAGAGCTTAGGTCCCTCAGTAGCTCTGCTGTGCATATTTACAATTTTGGATCTGTATTGGGTTCACATGGCAAGGGTTTGGGAGCAGGGGGTTTGCAGGGGCGGCCTCTGTGAGGAACCCAGCAGCTGCCCCATGTCAGATCAGAGCCAGTTTCAGTCGGCTCCAAAGTGACCTGCTGCTGGCCAGAGCTGAGCCAGTAAGTGATGCTGGTTGGGCCTCTGGGAGCAGATTTAAGATAGGGACAAAAACTGCTGTGCAACAGCAGCTGGGGAGGAGGAGTGAAGCAGCCCTGCAGCCCCCAGGTGAGGGCAGGAGGTGCTCCAGGCAGGCAGCAGCAGTTCCTCTGCTGCTTGTGGAGAGGCCCCTGGTGGAGCAGGCTGTCCCCCTGCAGCCCATGGGTCCCCCATGGAGCAGATCTCCACGCTGCAGCCCCCCCATGGGTGGAGGAGTCCCCGGTGGAGCAGGTGGATGTGGCCTGGAGGAGGCTGCGGCCCATGGAGAGCCCCCGCAGGAGCAGGCCCCGGGCCGGAGCTGCAGCCCGT